ATCATAGCTTAAAACAAACATAAATATTTTAACTTTCGATAATATAAACAGTATTTTTGCTTATAATTTATATAATTACAACTATCGCATAGACGAATGGCTATAAACTACAAATCATACAACCACCAATTCATACTGAGAGAAGATCTCCTGTGTCAGTATAATTTAGTGGCAGCAACCAATCAATTAGTTTATTTTTACAATCTCTTAATTTTAAAGGGTATATTTCAATGCTTTTATTAATTTTATTATATAGGTGAGCTGATTGTATTTTATAATGTCGTTTGGCTGATTTAGTTTTAGTTTTCTGATGTTTTACAACATACCTGTTTCTTCTTTTATTTAGTTTATTAGAATGAAATGGTAAAGACCTATGGAGTTTTAGAACAGTTTGTAATATATATAAATTTCTCACTGATAATAATTCACTATATCGATAGAGTTCAGCTGTGGCAAATCTGTACGGCTTAGAATACATAACCTTTAGTAGGCAACGTTGCGCTCTCTCAACTTCAAGAAATTTTGTCTTTGAAGCTCCAACCCATATATGGATACAATATCCCAGGACCTAGTGTACCAATGTAACATATATTTGATTGATAAGCTTCTTAGTAGTAATATATCTTAAAGATTTAAAAATCCATATTAACTTTCTGATTCTGTTATTAATGAAATCCATGTGAGGATGCCAAGATAATCGTTGGTCGAGTATTATTCCTAGGTATCTGGTGCTGTTGACTTTCTCTATTTCAGGACAGTTGCAGTTATGTATATTTTGGTTATTGCATTTCATCTGCATCTCTTTATAAGATAGAATCTATATATTAAGTATAGATTCTATCTCATTCTCTCGTAGGCCGATATATTTGTCTTTTTTTAGTGTCGCTTTTTCGTTTCATTGACTTTCAAACCAATACGATGCTTTTTATTTTGTCGAAAACAGTGCATTACCTTTTAATGCGTGTGATATTGTTATAATCGGGGACCTCCCACCAAACTCTTAAAGCCTCATCTCTAGTCGTAATGTTTTCATCCGATGAGGGAACAGCCTCACGTCTTTAGCCGTTCGAGTTCGGCGTCACCAAATATTTTCAAGCACATGATGTACCTAAGTCAGTCTACTTCGGTGGGGTTGATGGATGTGAGGTGATGTTGGTTGCCCGTGCAGCACCTCGCACTTGGTTGGTGGCTCGTATGCGGTCGCGTCCAGCGCCAGCACCAGTCACGCCCTGATGACCTCCAGGGAACGGCCCGTGTCCCTCTTTTTCCATCATCCATATGATGGGCGTCATTTAACGGGAGACGCCCATACCCGGCACCGTTTTATATGGTGCGGCCATAGACACATGGCCCGTTTGCACCCTCAATTTTGCCCAGGCATGGCAAGGAGTTTTGTCTCTTAACTGTTATGTAAGCAGGAGATGGAGACGTCACTTCCCTAAGCCTTAGTATTGCGCCGAAGTATTTATTTATATTGTTACGGTTTTTATTTTGTTTACTACTTAATCTTGTTCATCAGTCCGCAAAAGTCCGCCTCTGAAAATTAGCATCCTCTGTTGCAAGGAGGATTTGCCTTAATTATTATTATTGGCAGGCGTATTAACGATCGCAGTACCTCGTATTAGATCTCGCGCCTTTGAGACTACTGTCTACTGTCATCGGTCTGAGTATACGTATACAGTAAATGAGATGCCGCCATTTGTCACGAGCCATAAGTAGATAGGGACAAAATTATTAATATCTACTAAAATTAGATTTACTCAATACATTATTAGTAATACAATAATAATAATAACTGTGCGTTGTAGAGGAGCCATGCTGCAGCTATATTAGTAGTATAGTTGAAGCACGAATGGGTGGGCTCGACCGGGGAGGGACCACGCTCTCACAGAATACCAGCGTAAAATAGCAGCTTAACGCTGCTGTGTTTCGTATGGTGAGTGTAGAGAACCGGAGACCCTTTTTACTGGAAAAGACGCATTCCATCTTAGTCCTCACGGGTGACAACGCATCTGCATTTTGATTCATAATTGAGGATAGATGTAGATGTCTATGGGCCACAGCATCCATTTACCATTACGTGAACCGTGCGCTCGTTTGTAACCCTTATCCTATAAAAAATAGTAAGTATTGAATTACATATTACATAAAAATAGAATAGAAATAATTTAAGTACCTATATTATATAATCTGTGCAATTGTATAATATATGTGCATATAAAACATATACTAACGAAATATCAGTCGCTGTCTTTTTAAATGCGAAAGCTGCGAAAATAGACCATAACATAAATAAGCTTGTTGCCAAAATAAATGGAAAAATAATTTCAGTGAACGCTAGGTCGGGTCCACATTTGATCATCTTGACGTAACTTGATCAGACTAATCGTATTGTACCGATAAAACGTACATATTTCACTGTTAACTATATGTATGTACCTATTTAATTTTGGTAACGTAGCACTTTTACTTTCATGCGCAATACTTATTAGTCAGTGTATTACAGGCATTCATATCAAGAGGTTGTTAACTTTATTAAATGATAATATCATATTAACGAGGCCTAAGAAAATTTGCGTTTTAAATAAAAGTTTTTCGATTTCTAGTGTACGTATGTATATACGAGTACACAAAACAAAGGCTTAGTGCTGTAGGCATTGAGTTATATGTACTACGTACTAGAGAAGCCATTCCGAACATTGACTAGGTTCAACTGAACTGTAGTGCAATCCATACAAACTAAATATTGCGTAAATTGAAGATTTGTGAATTCCATAAAATAATTAATATTACATTTTATTTAGAAATATGTTTGTTTAGATTAAATTAAGATATTTTATATTAAATTCTTATATTTATTTTATATTAATATCTTATTTTATATCAAATTAAAGACTTCGCGTATGCGCGACTACTACTCCCGCGCATGTGCGAAGACATAGAGTAGGACACAATTTTTGTTTGGAATGGCTTCTCTAGTACGTAGTACATATAACTCAATGGCTGTAGGTATTCGTAATTTTTTTTACCCTTTTTCAAAAAAATAATTCTTCCTTATTTAAGAATATTCCGTAGTTTAATTTTTCATTTCTAATCTAATTAATATAAAATATAACTATTTTTCATAGAAACATTAATTTCTACACTTTTGTAATTTTATATCCCCCACTATGACATCTATCAAATATTTCACCTCATTACTAAGTGATACCGCCTTGGTGGTAGAAAAATCCGTCACAGTCATATCATAGCGACTTCTTATCTATCTCCTATATTCTATCTCCTTTCATCTATCATCAAGCGTGGGAAATAAACCCCACATTTTATCGGTCCTTCGGGGCGAATACGATCCAGCGACTTATGGATCTTACTTTACCTTTTTAATATTATATCTTTTAACCCGAAATCACCATGGTTAATTTATCATTGAGATCTGAATACTTTTAGCGAGAAATTAAATTTATGAGAACGAAAAAGAGACGAGTAAATCTATGAATTAAAAGCTAGCATTCCCGTATACAGTCTTAAAATTAAGTAATTATATGACAACCATATAACAGAGTTCGATTTACAGTCTTAGATGCATTACCTACTACATACACCTACTAAAACAAGCTACTATGCTCCTTAAATAAACTGGTCTATTTAAAAATTAAACAATCGATATCCGTATGACATAAAATGATAAAATGATTAATGAATCGTTATTAGGCACCAGAACTATTTCCAAATTAAAAAGTTACCGGTGAATCAATTTATAATAGAGATTACACCTGACTCATTATGCCATGAGATATGCAGGCCACGTATATTGTGTGTATCAGAGACAGACATAGAGGATTTGAGCAAGCCTATGTACAACACTATGTACACTAAGATACGTTTAGTATCTATACACATAATAGCTACTATATAAATGTCCAGTTCAATTTGAAAACGTGAATATGTTTCCCGAAGGAGAGCTCTAAGAAAACTAGTAAACGAGTACCGGCGTGCTAAATGGATAAAGTTAGTGTCAGTGTTAAAGTACAAAAAGTGTAGCGACCTCATCTATTTTGCAATAGTAAAATTCAAGTTCCCGTGTGTAATAAAAATAGAGTGAAGGGAAAGTGGAATTTCACTGAGACATTGAACTTTGACATTTTAATATTTTATTACAGGTTTTTTTAAACTGGTAGAATTTATAAATATGACTACAACGATATGCAAATGAAATATTTTCTAATGAACTATGAAATATATTCTATTAGTGAATTAACTAATTGCAAAAAAGGGAATATCACTTTGCACTTTATATGAACATGTATTTAATTAACATCCATTAGAATCCACTTTCGTGTAATTAAAACGTCTAGGTGCGATGGTAAAGTAATTGTGAAATATTACACTTTAGATTCGTAATAATTTAATATTTTTGTTCCTTTGACGCTACTATAAAACGATAAAAGTGAATACTCACTAATGTAAAAATGGTATTATTAAATAAATACAGAAAACAAAAAATGTTTACATTTTACTACGTGGTATGGGTCCGTCTCTTTGTACCACCACTCTCTTGCCTATTTTTTAAACAGTGCATATAATCCAGTGACCCAAATTGAGGGTTAAAAGAAGCAATATAGTTTTACGCTGCGAGGTGTTCTATCTCAGTTCTTAGAGGTGACAACGTAAAGTAAAAATTGGTTTAATTTTTTTTTGTCTGACGCCGGTTGCAGTTGCCTATGGATTATCTTAGCTTAAAATTATCTTATATTCTTCTAATATTATCTTACATTAGCTTGTAAACCAGCCATTGTAGGCAGTAGCAGTTATCTTTGCTGTTATGAGTGAACATGTGCATGAATTTCAATTATTTATTTGGGGATAGATGTAGGCATCTACGGGTCACAAAATGTATGAACCATCAGTTGGACGGTATGCTTTTTTCTTCTCCCTTATTTTTATATAAAATAACTTTTTGTTTTTTTTGACATATTAATTTTAACTATTTTATCTTATAGCTATGAAGGCCGCCATATTGATTCAACAATGGTATCGGCGTTACCTTGCTCGAATGGAAGTTCGGCGACGCTATACGTGGACCATTTTTCAAAGTATAGAATACGCCGGTGAACAAGATCAAGTGAAGGTAAGTCACTCATATGCACCTGTAAATTATAATTAACGAAGACAATAGTTATTGATTAAGGTAGCATATTACAATATTATTTAATTGATTTTTTTTTATAAAATAATTTAATGAAATAATTTCCTTTATTTAATAAAATAATAATTATATAAATTATTGAAATTATTTCCTTAATTTATAAAATAGAATATAACATTTTTATACTCGTATTACCAACAATAATACTAATTAAAATAAATCAAATGTCATATGGTTAGTGTGATATTTATTTGATATGGAAGTATAGTCATCTTAATTTAAAAAAAATAGCTCATTCAGTTGGCTAGGCTTAAAAATATTGTGATAATGATAACGATTTATTTGCATAAAATATATAATAAACTGATTTGAGTAGGTAAGGTTCCTTTTTGATTCACCAAACTGGCAAACAATACATTAAAATATAAAATTAATTAAAATTAAATTAACAGTATAAAATTTTTAAGAGGACAATACCGTAAAATAAAAATGGCAAAAAGTTCATTACATTATTATAATCACAGTATTCCATATTTGAGAATTTTAATTGGGTACAAATGTAACGATCACATAATAAGGACATTTGAATTCCCTAATTATGATTATATGATTTGTACGCAATACTATAGATTTGTCACCGAATTAAATTAAATCTACTCGTAACAATACCAAAACGATGCCTTAAAAATAAATATAAAATTATTATAAAATACTATCAATTATTATATAATGTTTTAGTAATTAAAATAATAGGTTTGACTCAAAAAAAAAAAAACTATGCGATAAAATTATTTGGAAACAAATATTTAAAAATTAAATTTATCTAAAAATGTTGAAGCAAAAATTGATTATATTTCAAATTGTGACCTTCAGATTTACCTTATAAATTAGTTTAGTAACTTACAAATATTTTTTAATATTAAATATAAAATATGTACGACTAAAAGTCAATTGTAATTATTATAATCACTGCTGCTTTCCCTTATAAATATAGAACCTAAAAATAGAACATGCAATTATGTAAGTATTTAAAATATTCAACCGACTAGTATCAATATTTAAAATAAATTTATAAAATAATTATCAGTTTAATAGATTTGGTAATACTAAGACTCAGTTAAATAAAGCAAAATTAAAACGCAAATTAATTTTCTTTGCAAGCCGTACTTTTCAAGTGACAGTTGACAGATCGCGGTCATTCTAGGTCGTTCACGCTCCTGTTATTATTTACTAGGCATTGTATATTGATTGTCCACCTTATTTTGTTTTATTTATTAATAACAGGAAAACTAACAGCTATTAATTAACATGATATGGTACACATGTAAGTCACAAAGTAAGCCTATTAAAAGTTTTCACAAATGAGTAATCGGTTTAAGTAAAAATACATACAATATATATAAACAATATGAGTTGCACGTTGATGTTAATTAGATTTAAGAATTCATGTGTATATTGTTACGGAACTTAGATGTTATCAATTTGCAAATAGTATTACCATAAGTTAGTTATAACATACTTAGAGCAGAACGACCTGCTCAGCGACAGACTGTATAGGTTCCGCCAAAATCTTAAGAGTAGAATACGAAAAACATTGCTGTTTCCCTTGATGTCTCGAAAACCTTTGAAAGGGTCTGGCACGCTAGCCTTTTAAACAAGATTTCAACATACGGCTTATCACTATATAGCCCCGGTCTGATCAGCTGAATGGAGAACTTTTTCGAGTGAACGGCCTCTCTGAGTCGTTGTAGAAGGATGCTGTTCCGAGCCTATGACAACTAATGCTGAAGTTTTGCAGGGTCCGTTCTCTCCGCAACTATGCTCTGCTGCATATCAATGACCTGCTTATGCCCGCTGTTAATGGGTACGCAGATGATAGAACAGATATGGAGACTTATCAGCTGAGTGTTAGTTGAGACTAGTTGAAATGAAATCCAGTCCGAAAGACCTGCTATAGTTAAGCGTGCGAATCTCTCAATGCAGGCAATCTCCGAATGGGGTGATGTCCGTCTCATGTGATTCAACGGCTTTACAAAAACACAAAAACAAAACAAAAAGCTGATATATATACTTAGTCGGGTCACAAGTTCTGTCAAAACCTTATTATTTAAAATTTTTGAATACTGGCTAGATGAACTTCACCAATTTCAAAAATATAACGTTTGCGCTTGCCAAAAATAAAAAAGACATTCATTTTTATTCATTTTCAAAAATGGAGTGGCCGAAGAAAGAAGATAGAGTAGCGGTTATCGCGTTGCAACGCTGTGGTTACGCGCCAAAAGAGATTTTCAATATTCTACAAAAATTTAAAATAACACCACGATTTGTTTATCGCACTATCAAACGGTTCGTTGAAGATTCAAGCTTCGAAGATCGTACGAGGATCAGCCGACCACGTACAGTAAGGACACCCGCGATTATCAAAGTAGTGAAGGCGCGAATCCAACGAAATCCTGTTCGTAAATAAAAAATCTTAACTCTTCAGATGGGCCTAAGCAGAACCACGGTCAAAAGAGTGATCAATGAAGACCTATGACTACGAGCTTATCGTAAGAAGACCGTACATTTTTGAACGAGTGTTTGAAAAAAATTAAACATCGAAGAAAGTTATAATAAACAAAATGATAAGGTATATGCCCACAGCAGTGAAAAAGCCAGCACGCGTATTCCGAGGGTTCAACGGGGATATTATCCTTCGTCATTCATGGTGTGACTTGGAGTCTCATATGTTTTTCTGTGAAAAAGGTGTAAAAACCAGTGCCGAGGTGTACCAAAATACCGTCCTGATAAACATGGTGACAAACAGTGGAACCTCTTTCTCAAGCAATGTTCAAAATTAAATGTGGGATATGGGCGACGCCTAACCACCGCCATAACAGGCACAAATTGCTGCAACGCCTCCAGTACCTCGGGGTGATGCAGCTGGCCACATAGCACGCGCTACACGTACTTGCAGAGCGCGACGTCACGCATCACACCCAATTGCCTGTAACCATGCTGATCACGAACAAGCTCGGGTACATTAATCAGCAGGTGGACGCCGTACTCCTTTAAAAAAAGAATCCGCGTGAATTTATTTTCAAATTATTTCGCCATGTTGATATATTTATCTTTATGGAGATTTAAAATAATTGCATTCGTTTTCAGCCGGCTACGAACAAGTGCATTGTATTAACTTCAATCACTTTTGTACTAAGAATTACGCTGCAATTACTTAGGATAAAACCTAAGTTTCTGAAGGTCATCATTTCGTGATATCGTCGGATACATCATGAAGTGTTAATTCAACGATAGGACTACGAGATAAAAATAACATATTCAGTAAATCACTATTCTTGAAAATGAAAAAGCTATAGAAACATTTTTTGTAAAAGCCTTTTAAAATAACGTTTAACGAGATTTTGATTTGATTTCTCTCAAACCTCCAGGAATATTAAGGTATATTTTCACATACTCGTACATAAGATGAAAATTTTTACGATGTAAATTAATGTTACATTTGGGATATTTTAATGTTATTTTATCTCTTCACAATATTTTTTCTTTTGCCTTTAATGTCAGTACTGTATTTTTCAAATAAATTATTTTTATTACAAACATGCCTATTTGTTAAGTACATAAGGAGCATATTGTTAAAATTTTAGTTTCCTAAAGTTCTACAAAGTTGGAAGGGATTACATCCACAATTTGATCTTATATATTGTTTGGACTAGATACACACTTTTAGTCTAACATGGTGGGACATCTTTCGTGACAAAGATTCTTCTTTAAACCCGAGACTATCAATAGTATGTAGCAGTTTTGTGGTGGGACCTATATAATTTGACTCGGATTTTATTCATTTGTGATTTCCAGTTACAGTGTTGATTGTGAACGTTGAACATGCTTAAAAGTTATTGGATTCTATTTCTAAAATTTTAATACCACGATTTAAGATTTTCAAAATTAGTCTAGTTTCTCTGATATTATAAAAAGACATGAATTGAGTTTTTCAACAAGCTCGGATTTAAATTTTTATCTATTTATTATACCTATTTTATTTTGTAACTAACCATTACGAAAATGTTATTGGCATACAAAATGCACTGAATATTTATTATTACACGACTGTTGTTTAAGAATATATAATAAACAGCTGTGTATCTACAGTATACTTTATATACTCTAATGACGTAGGACAGGATTACGGATCAGGAGTGTGTGCGCTAGTACAGGTGCACCTTCTAGTACGCACAGGTACGGTCCCGTAGTCCGATAGGTTAATAATCCGATGGAAAATATAGAGATACAGAACCAACGACTTTGTGTGCTTTCTGAGCAACGAGGATGAAAACCCACTAAAATCTTGACTCCGCGCTGCTACTGCAAATTTCTTGATAGAAAACCCAACTGATTTTTGGCTCGATCACACCTATTATTTAAAGGTCATACGACTTCCTTCGATTGAGTTTAGTTTTATTTTTCTGTTTATTATATATATAATAAACAGCTGAGGTCCAAGAATGCAGTATCCTGTAAAACAACGAAATTATTATTTGAGGATTGAATTGTAGACAACCCGTTTATGACATATTTTTTTATTTGTTATTTGTGACATAGTACATAAAGAAAATAATAAAACACATGGTTGTACCGATTGTATTTTCTTTGTTTTATTAATATTGGCTAATTTATAGACTACAATAATTATTATTTTGCTGTCAAATAATGTTTCATTGAGTTCTTATTCCATGATAACTAGACGGTATATAACGACCTTTCTTATTTTTACCTACTATTATTTCTATCTACTTAGTTCCAATTTTATGTTGAGCTCACTATTGATTCAAATAATCAGTCACTCAAACTATGCATCGTATATCGATATGTTGCATGCTAGCGAAGCGTGTCTAAATTACTTAGTAGGTAATGGTCGCGTCGGTGTGAGGCTTCGTTACACTAGAAAGGTTGTACGAGTATCATGTGGGCTATCTATTATTACC